TTTTATCCTACTTATTAATAATTTATCATTAAACAAAATTTGTCTAAAATATTTTTACTTATTTTTATAGAATTCATTGATATTCTCTAATGTATCAACTAACATTGACTCGAAGTAACTAATTTAGCAATTGATACTATTGTGATGATGACAAGATAACAAATTCGAAGACAAAATTAAAGATATTTCTTTCAAAATATGGAAAAAGAATATAAACATTGATAAAAAAAAACACTTAAACTTATTTTAAGATTATGAATGTTTTAATTTAAGTTATGTAATTCAACTATGGTTTAGATCATTATATTTTCTTTAGTATATTTCTCAAAGTGTTTGATATTCATCATTCAATTTATTCATATTTACTTATATAATGTGAAATGTTTTAACATTAAAAATATTACCAAATAACATTTATATTTTCTTTTATCAACATATTAATCATACTACTAATAGTAAAAATAGTCTAATTATTTTTGAAAAATAGTATAATATTGTTGAAACATGATAGTATTTTGGTGGCATAATAATAATAATATATTTTTAGCATAATTACTTCATTATTTTAATTTTATCATTATTAGTGATAACTTAAATTATTTTTAATGATTTATGATATAATGCATCACAAGTACACCATGTTTTATAGAAGTCAATTTTTTAAAATTTTGTAAGGCCCATTTTGTTGATCCATTTATTCAACACCCATACTTACAATTAGTCCGTTGTTTTACATTTCGTAAGGCCCATCATTTGATCAATTCATTAAAGTCACCCTTTGATTAAACATTTTCATATTTATTAATATTATAGTTTGTATGGAAACATGGTCGGTTTTCATTGAAGCATTTTTTTGTATTCTTTATTATCTCAAAAATAGGTGAATATTAATATAAAATTTTTTATGTGTTATAACTTATAACTAAAAAGTGAAAAGTTTTGGATTTTGTCTCTCCTCCTTTTCTCTTCCTTGTTTTTTGTTTGTCTTTATCATTTCCTAGCAAAAACATCACTTAAGTTGGAAATAATAAAGGTGCAATCATTATGAAACAACTATATTTAAGAATGTTCTACACCATCCATTTGAAGTTTTTTTTTTTTTTTTTTTTTTTTTTTACTTTGTTTGAGAATGACCTCGTTTTCTTACAAGATTTTCTATTTGTTCCTTTAACATGTGTTTCAAGTTCTTCTCCTGTATGTATCAGATTGGTTTCTTTCACACATATACTCAGATTTTTGCTATCCAACTTAACTCTTTTCATACATTTTTTTTTCTTATGTTTTTGGTTTATTTTATGTTTTTCGTGTGTTGTAAACCGTCGATTATATTGGTCATCAATTTGCCATTTCATTTTTGGATGAACTTGGTCCATTATGATATTTATTTGATGATAAGGATTATAATCATGTGACATGAACTTGGATAAACCTTCTCTCATGACGATTAAACTAATTTTAAAAGGTTTTATGAATTTGTCGGGTACTACATATTTTGTTTAGGTATATAAGTTAAAGTAAGTTTCATATAAATCTCTTTCAAGGAACTTAAACATCACTTTCTTTATAAATGTTTCGCATATACGTATCAGACAAAATGAACCTCTGGTTTATTTTAACGTAAGACTGAGCAAAGACCAATATGAAAGTATCCATTTGGTGAGATTTAAGTTTGAAGTTTATTAAATTGAGGTGTTTGTAAGTTTTAACTGCTTTTACATACCACTCAAATAATGTTATTGTTGAGATGACTTGTTAAATAATAATATACTGTCTTTGTTTTTCTTCTTCTTTTGTATGAAATCACTTTTTTCTTTGTAGTTATTTAGTGTATTTCCCTTTTTATATGAATTTTGATATTAAATACTATATTAAAATAGTATATTTTCAACCCAAAACAATATGTTATAATTATGATATATTTTCATTTATAAAATATAATGTGTATTTTATTTATTTAATTATGTGTTATTATCAATCCATGAATACTTAAAAAATGTATTTTATATCTAAAGAATAATAACTAATTAATATTATTTAAATATATAACATAACAGTGGTAAATAAGTAGGTAAATTTTATTTTAGAATGTATTATTTATAAGATTGATTCCAATTTTTTATAATAGATTTGTCGATTTTGGTTTGAATAATATTAATATTTCCCTGCTGCAATTATTTATCCATTCATATTTCGTAAGTGTTAAAACTATATAAGAAAATTATTGAAAAAAAAATGCTAGGTAATCACAAAACATCGACAGGTAACTTTGTGATAATAATATATTTTACTTATTATATTTTGAAACAATTTATGTAAATATAATTTATTTATTTATTCCTTATTTGTAATTTTTTTAATTTTTTTATGAGTTTTGTTATTATATTTTCATTCACTTTTTATTTTTCCTCTTTTTATTTATTTGTTTTTCTCTCTTTTCTCATATTTATTTTTTAATTAAATTACTATATTAAAATTTAATAAAAATATATTAAATTAAATATTTTAAAAATTATATTAAAACTAAAAATATTAACTAATTATTTAAAATTATAATAATAATAATAAATAATTTTATATATAATAACATAAATAATTAATTTAAATTATTTCATCATAATAAATAATTATTCATCTAATTAAAAAGTATCAAATATTTTAAAATTAAGCATATTTTTTATTTACTAATTTAATTTATTTATAATTAAGTTATGATAATTAGTTAGATTAAATAATTTAAAAAATATTTATTGAAAAAATATTTTAAAATAAATAATAATTTTTTAATAATTATAACATAACATTAATATTTAATATCTAAAATATACCGTTTTTCCCTGTCTTAGTAATTTTTTTTCTCTCACCTTATTCATCGTTTTTCTCTTTCTATCTCATATTTCAGGTTTCTCTCTCATCTCAGTTATATTTCTAACTAAAATTACTATATTTAAATTTAATAAAATATTTTTTAAATAAACATTAAAATAAAAATTATAAACTAATTATTTAAAATTATGATAATAATTAAATAATTTTATTTATTATAACAGTAAATAATACCATTAGATAAATAATTAATTTAAAATTGTTTTATTATAATAAATCAATTATTCATATAATTTAAAAATAAATTTTATTGGTTAAATATATTTTTTATTTAAAAGTTTAATTTATTTATAATTGGGTTAAATAATGATAATTAGATAAATCATTTAAAAAAATATTTATGAAAAAGTTTCTCTCAAATAATTTTTTAGTGTTTTTGTGATTAATAACATAATAATAATATTTGTAATATCTTAAATTTATGATATAATATTTTTAAATATAATATATTAAATTATAATTTTTTTAGATAATTAAAATATTTTTTATAAATAATAAAATATTATTTTATCAAATTTTAATATTATTATTTTTTTATTAAAAAGATAAGAAGAAATGAAAGAACAGGAGAAAAAAAACAAAAAGAATAACAACAAATAGATGTAGTAAAAAATAAAATTAAAGAAAAAAATTATATTATATTAAATAGATTTATATTTCCCTCATTAAATATTGTATATCAATAATAAGTAAGTGTAATTTGTTAAATAATAAAAAAAATTATTTTATATTTTTAAATATATTATTTATGTGATTGATTCAAAAAAATTGTAAAATTTTTAATTTATTTAAATTTAAAATATTAAAAAAGACATAAAAATAAAAATAAAAATGAATGATTAAGTTTAAACTAAATTAAAATATTTTTTTAATTTTGATATTATTTGAACCTATCATTTAAATTATATTTAACTTATGTTTAAAAATAATTTTTTAAATTAATATTTAAAACTGCTTTTAAAAATTAAAAAATATTTATTTAATTTATTGTTTAGTTTTTTTCAATAAAAGTTTTAGATAATTTTAACAAATTATTTTCTGAAAAATAAATTAGAAAAAATATTTAATTACTATAATTTAAAATTATTTTAAATAATAAGAACAAAATTTTTAAAACGTTTTTAAACAATTTTATAGAAATAACAAACTATTATTATAGATGCAAATAAAAAAGTCAAATAACACTACTATGATCAATTTTAGGTTATAACTTTTAAAATTTTTTAATTTTTAATTTTTGAAAATTAAATAAATTAAAAATGTTTTAAAAACCCTAGACAAATTCCTAAATCTTGTTAAAAACATTATATGGATCAAAACGGGGTCGCTGAGCTTTACGGCGTTGTTTCGAGGCCAGAGAATCAAGTATATAGATTTCCTTAAACCCCTTCTTCTCCTCCGTTTAAACCCCTTTTCTCCTCCGTCTTGGACACTGCGTGTTGAGCGTTTCTGCCTCAACCACAAGGCTGCGCCACCGTCATCGTCCTCCGTCACTTCCTTTCATATCTTTCGCATTTCAGGTGCGTTCCTTTTCGCAGTTCTGTTTCATTGCTTTCTTCCAGTGTTATTGCAAAAGGGCCATGGCGGAAATCCGAAGAAGATTTTTCGCCGTCCGTAGGGGCAAGGCGGTGGCGAAACGGGTTTTACATGGCGGCCCATACCGATCGCTTTGGCTATCGCGGAATGGCGCCGCGGAGCGGTCATGGAGAAAATCTCGCTCCGGCAGCCGCGCAGCTTGCGTCTATCTGCCGCGAGAGGTGGAAGATGTGTCGGGTCTGCGCGGCCCGACCCAGACTAACCTGGATTTATACTTTTAAGCTGATACTTTTGTTGTTTCTGTGGGTTTCTTTTTTTGGGTTTATAATAGACCCAGCCCATTACCACAAAAAAAAAAAGCAAAAAGTTAGGTTGGCCGCCCAACCGCACTTCTCTCTCACTGTATAAGAAATATGCTTAAGTTTTGCGTACTTAATTTACCTGATTCATTGGTATAAGAATTTCTCATCAATCCGAATTCTGTGCACTGGGGATTTTGTTATCTTGACACAATCTGAACTCAATTTGTTACTTGATGCTTTTTCATAGAACTGGCCAGTAATCCCAATGGCTTATCGGCGATGCCTTTTGATAAGAGGGAACCTTGTAGATCGGAGGTGCCATCCGTCCTTCAGTTACGTTCTCCATAGCGATGATGGGAGACGGGAAAAGTCTGATGAAAAATCATCTTCAGCAGGCGTTAGTAATTTTGCCCAAATAAGGTCCTTTGGAAGCTCTCTTAATGCACCATTGGGGTTCTTTTCTCCTTCCCGAGATAAATTTCTTTCTCCATGCACTGGATATGGTTTCTGCCGGTATATGTCTACTGTGAATCAGGGTTCAGAGAACATTGATAGTAGCATAATCACTGATGTAGCTGATGTCCTTACTGATGCTACCATAGACACTGTAGCTTCTCAGGCTGCCACCGTTAATGAAGTTGCAATTGCTGCCGCTGATTCTTTTTTGCCTGTAATGGGGTTGCAGTACGTGATAGATGCTATACATTCCTATACTGGCCTAAATTGGTGAGTCTTTTTCTATCTATCTATCTATCTATCTATCTATCTATCTATATATATATATATATATATATATATATATATATATATATATATATATATATATACACACACACACATATAATCCCGAATTTTGCTAAATTTGTATCTCAGCTTATTTTATGTCAGTTCCTTTAATACAGGAAGTATTTGGTGGCACATAGGCTTTCAATGGTGATTGTTAATCTTATTGCTTCTTTATTTCAGGTGGGCATCAATAGTTCTTACAACCTTGTTGATTCGAAGTGCTACAGTTCCACTCTTAATAAATCAACTTAAGGCCACCTCTAAACTTACGGTATATTATGCTGCTCTTAACTTCATCTTTGTTTCTTTTTAAAATAAAGTAATGGAATGGCTCTCGCTTGTACCTTCCTCCTTCCCGCACAATTCATACATTTGGAGGGAACTGTTTCCCTTAGTATGCATTCCCTTTTAGGATTAAGATCTCCTTAACATGACTTGGAAGGTTAATTCTAGCTTGACCGTTTTGTTCCATCTTTTCTGTTCTGTTTTCCTTAGAGGTACTCGAGCTTGTTATATCAATAATGTATTTTTCTACACACTCTAATCTATCTTGTTACCTAAACACTGTTTCTCGTATTTGACAGTTAATGAGGCCTCGCTTGGAGGAGATAAAGCAACAGATGGATGGGATGGTAATCCTCAAATAATTTTTTATTACTGATGATAGTGCTATGCTATTCTATTGAATATGCAAGTGAGCTAATAGGGCCGCCTCACATGTTCTGTTACCCTTTTTGTATAAACTTTAGTTTGACTAACATTTGTATGAAGATTTTAGTTTGTTCATTTATCTTTGGGAATCAAAATAAACAATTCCACTTAAATAATGTCCTTTGCCCTGTACACTGACTAAATTCTTTTTCTCCAAGATGATTTACATGATGTATAGCATAAGCCTTTTCATTTGGCTTAAATGTGACTTTAAATTTAAAATTCAAAATAACAGTTTAATATAAAGTAAAATCTTTTCAACCATCATCACCCTTTCTAGCTTGAAAGAGGAGTGAAGGGAGAGCAAAGAGAGTCTAGAGAGAGGCAAGAAAACAAAGAGAAAGAGAGAGAGAACAAGAGTTGGAAAAGAGGAGTGTGTGGAGAGAGACAAGAGAGCAAGTAGATAGAGAATGTGGGAGTGGTGAGAGACGAGATATAATTGATGGAGCTCATTACATCACTTTAAGCATATTTTCTTACCTCCTGCATTTGATGTAATGTGATGGAATGGATTTTTGCATTTAACTATAATTTATTTTTTTAGCTCTTTTCTACTCAAACACCATAGAAGCAACCACTACCTAACCTAAATTTTGTGCACAATGTATTCTCTAGCCTCTTCTTTCACAACTGAAGGTATTAAGCTTCTCGTGCAATTTTTAAATGCAAAGAGCTTCCAGCGCAATGTACTGTTTTTTAAGTGGGGATTATATAGCATATTATGCTTTCACTGGTATGAAATAGATGCAATGGTCCAGCACAATTGTACTTTCACAGTTTCAGCTTGACACAAGCCCGAAAATCTAACATTTGGCAATCATACTTTATAAAAGTTGAGAATTCCTAAAACTAAAAAATTGCTTTTGCTTCTATTGAAGTATAAAAAGACCTGGTATTTTAAAAGCACTTGTCCATGTCTCGGTTATGTTGTTTGACACTAATCTTATTTTCATGTTAATATTTGTTAGTTCTACATTAATGGGCACTGCAATGAATTGACCATCTTTATATGTCATGACAATAATTCTATTACAACAATAATTTTCTATTAGCATATTTATTGATAGTTGATCTTCTTTAAAAGCCAACTCACCAAAAATGATTAGTTTTTCACATGAGAAGACTTTAATAGGTTTAATATTCTTCAAAGAATTTGATGAAAAGAAGTGGTTAAGAAGAAGAAAAAAATATACTATTGCATATTATATTTTAAAGATAAGGGTAATATAGTCATAAAAAAATGTTCCATTTAACGTATCCAAACAATGATAAGAGATGCATTCCACTCCATGCCATTTCTTTTCATTAATCCAAACAAAGCTTAAATTTCATCGTTGGATTCCTTGTAAAATTGGAATTCCATTTGGGAATACTATGGAATTGAGAATCAACTCAACAACACTCTTCATAATTATTATTAGCATAGACCTTGCATTTCCAAGAGAGCTTAAAACTTTGGGGATATATTTTGTCCCATTGTTTACAGTCATTCTTATCCGAATCTGATAAACTCTTGCCACCATCATTTTCTTCATGCTGCCACTGCTACTGCCACTAGCACCATCATGATAACCACCCGTAGGATCCTATTTCTTTTGCAACAATCACTGTGTTAGCAACATGCCTAGACCATCACCACCACCTCCTCTTACACCATTGCTGCCATCACCACCTCTATCACATTGCCACCACCACTGCCAGCAGGCCACATCCACTTCATTGTCAGCATTGACTAATGCTGCCATCGTCTTCATCACAACTGCTCCAATTAGTATTGTTACCTCCAGCAAAACATGTCTCACCTAAATCTCTTTTGACACCACCAAATAATACATTGTTGCTGCCATTGCCACCTTGTCACCACCATTATCATCATAATGACTTTTTAGCTATGTTTGTTGATTTATGGTTCATAGGCCTCAATTGTGATGGTGCACCGAAAAGCAACGGATAGTAACGATTTCATCTAGATAATGAAAGATCTTGTTAAATGAATAAATGCATCTCAGATCAGAATATACATTGTTTCTAAATTTGTGTTAATTTTGATGTTTTAATATTTATTCTGTTCTATATAAACATATATGTGAATTCATTCTTCAATTGTTGCATATTTATTTATATATTTTTATGTAAGAAACCTTGATTGCTGGATGGTCATTCTCTAATATTTGCCAGTTCCTGTTGATGAATGACATTGCTGTATATGTAAATTATGATGTCTAAACTCCTGTATATTTATTAACCTTCAAACTTTACCTCATCTGTGGTTTTGGAGAAAATTTTATGTTTTGGATTTTACTACATTTATTATTAAAAGCAACTTTCTCTCTGATCACAATAAAATCCAATTTTCAGGCTATGGATCCCGTTGCTGTTGCTAAAGGTCAGGCGCAGATGAAGAAGCTATTTAATGAGTAAGTGATTTCTTAATTTGCTTCTTCAAAGTATCTTTGATAATATTTTCGTGACCTCTTCTATTCTATTCCACTTTCATTGTGTACAATGGTTGCATGGAGTTTAGAGCCCCGTTTTTGGTGTTTGTTTCTGAAGATGGCGCTTTATAGCTCTAGAAACCTTGTTCGCAGACACATCTTGGACACCTATTCAACTGAATTGAGCATGAATAAAGAAAGTGAACTGACACCTATTCTTGGCTAATCACTTCCTAGACAGTATTATGATAAAAAAAGAAATTAAAGGAAAACAACTAATTATAAATAATGCAAAGCTCGTAATTTTCTTGAATGTTTATTTCCATATGACTTATCTTGTTATTTTATTTTAACTCTTTAGAGATATGTTTCTTAGAATTCTGTTGTGTGGGTTGCTGATATTGAAAATAAAAAAAGAATGTAAAACTTAACAAATTTGTTTTTATAGTGTACATTATATAAATCATAATACTCAATTGAGATTTGTGTCTTGTTGATAATATGTGTGTGAATGGTGTTGCCATATCCTAAATATTTTGGATATCAGCTGTGTCCGTGATTGAGTCAGAACTTCGTAGGTTTAGCATTCAGTCAAATATCTCAGTTTGTGGATCTTTTGTTTGACTAAACATTTTCTTCCTTTGGTTTTGATAATTGCAGATATGGTGTGAGCCCTTTTACGCCATTGAAGGGACTCTTTATTCAAGGCCCTATTTTTGTTAGTTTTTTTCTTGCGGTAAGCTGTTTCAATTTGATATTTTACTTAGTTGTAACAGTGAAGATATTTCATATTGTTTGTATGCATTCTCATTTTTGTGTTTAAAGATAGATATCAAACATGGCTGAAAAAGTGCCATCATTCAAGCATGGTGGAGCTTTTTGGTTTACTGATCTCTCTACTCCAGATGCCTTGTACGTTTTTCCAGTTTTGACTGCATTGTCATTCTTAGTAACAGTAGAGGTGAGAATTTTCTTTTCAGTAACTTTATACTTTGTTTGTAATTCTTTCTGGATTGACTTTCAATTTTTCATTCAATGTTTTTTGAGTTGTCGAGTGGTGTTATCTGATACATTTTGGTTCCAATTTGGACTAATTTGATTTCATACTGTTCCTTAGTGTAATATGCAAGAGGGGATGGAAGGAAATCCTGTGGCTGGCACCATGAAAAATCTCTCCAGGGGTCTTGCGGTTCTTACAGTTCCATTCACCATGGGATTTCCGAAGGTGAACTATCCTAGCTTAGTTTTCCTAAAACAACTATTTACACTTTTTTTTGCATTTGAAATTATTGTAGTATGAACTTCAAAAAAACAGTAGTTCTGTCTTAAGTTTCAGTATAATTTTTTGTACTATCTGCGTCTTGAACCATGTTCCAACACCATGTTAAAATGGGTCTGGACACAAAAACTACATTTATTTTCACGTGCATCTGTCTATTTGTGTTCTAGTTCCAAACACACTGAATAGTTTGCTATTGACTGGTAGCTTTGCAAGTGTAACTAGCAACTATGAAAAAGAGGCTTCTTTCTCCTTCCTTTTATTGCCAAATCCCTCCCTTGGTTCTCTCACTCCCTTCCCTTATCCCTTAAGCAATGTAGCAGGTGGTTACACAAGGTGCAATTCATGCTTGGCCTAAATGTAACTCTGATTCCCTGCTGCCTGCCACGTCTTTTTCTAATGTATAACTTAGTTATCTAGTACGTGTCCTAACATTTTATTTTGTTTACTAGTTTTGAACAAGGTTAGTAAATTGTTTTCGAATGTGTGTGTGTGTGTATATATATATATATAGTGCTCAATGTAATAGTTTTGAACTAGAAAACAATTTAACTATAAGTCTTACAAACCAAAATACCAGTTGTATAAAGCATTTATTTTAGAAGAAAAGCAACAGAGCAATGAAATAGCTATATACAATGCAGAGAATGAATGATAGATGTGTGAAACCATTTCAGAAAAATTAAAACAGAGCAGACAAATTATCAATTAGGGTGGTTTTTTCTGGTCTTACATTTTTTTGTGTTATGGGGACTGATTGGATGGTGCATAACATCATGACAAGATTATCAAACCGAAACTTCTCTCTTTCCGTCTAGTCTGGAAACTTAGAAAAAAATGCTCTCTTTGTTTATTCGAAAGAGATGCTTTTATAATTATATAAAAAAAAAATGTTACTTACCTTATTGAACTGTATCTTTGGCAAAGCAAAGGTTGCAACCCATGCCTTGTATACTATTGATATAGGTAGGCTATTGATTTTCAAAATTTCATCCACATGTTTTAGGTTTATATGCTTATTTTGTTTGTAATATCTAAATGGTGTTTAGCTAATAGGGAAAGAAAAGGGGAGCTTTCCTGTTTTCTCTTTACAGCTTCATGTTCGCTTTCATTTGGCATTCTATATAGTTTGAACTTGTTTTTCTTTATAATTGTGCAGGCAATATTCTGCTACTGGGTTACATCAAATTTGTTTTCACTTGTATATGGACTTGGTAAGGGCTCTTGTACATTTTCATTTGCAATTTTACTGTCTTTTTCCAATGTTCACAACTTTAATAGACAGAAACCTGAATTTCTGGAAATGCATATTGCTTTGGGCCTGAATTCCAATCGTGATTGCATTTAGGTAGGCTAGAATGTATAGTGCATGTATTTGAAGACTCCTTGGCTCCCCATAATCTTCGTATTCTTTTCGAGTGCTGACATCCCTCAATTCATGATGATACAAAACACTCCAAGATGCACTTACAGTCTTGAACTCTTAATTATACTGATTGATCCAATGTTTTAAACATATCAATCAAGCTGAGTGCCTCTTACAATCATTCATAGCCTGACTGTCTTTCATTTAGCTGTTCGTCCCTTCTAGAAAATTTGCTTCCTTTATGAGCTACACCAAAATGATCATAGTTCCAATCAATACCTTCATATAAAATCACAACTGTCTTACACGAGGGTTATGTTTTGTTAGCTCAATCATAGGACGTGTAAGAATATTCCTGTCCTCTACTTGAGTTATTACTTTTAGTTATTTGTTTCACAAGCAGAATTTTTAAACCATTCTGTCTGGAAGATTTTCTGTAGATTGTCATAATTATGGTCTTTTGATTGTAATCAGATATTTAGCTCCTTTATTATTAGCCCTAGGAAAATTTACTTGAGATTCAAGAACAAGATTACTTTATCTAGCATCTTACTTGTGCGTGTACAAGTACACTTACTGTAAATCATTCGGCTTGGTCTACATTCTGTTGATGTCATTGGTGTGACTGGGATTAGAGGACTGATTTTATTTAAAAAGGAGTGAATTTGACAAAAAAATTATTGCATAGTCATGGAACATGTTGTCAAAATTGTTCTTATGTTCCAATTGTGAGATTGAAGGACTAAATTCATGTCATTTTTCAATTATGAAACTATCGCCCGAGGGGTGGGATTAAACTGAGTGAAAAAAAAACTAGAGGACGGAAATTTTCTTAACAAAGGAAAAAATTGCAGTAGGTCTACAACTTCATATATGGACTAAGTCTTAATGCATCAAAAGTATGCTTTTCCACTATGCTGAACTGCAAAGTACTGAGTGAAAAAAAAAAAAATCTAGAGGACGGAAATTTTCTTAACTAAGGAAAAAATTGCAGTAGGTCTGCAACTTCATATATGGACTAAAGTCTTAATGCATCAAAAGTATTCTTTTCCACTATGCTGAACTGCAAAGTACTAATACAAGTTTTCTTTATTATTATTAATTTTTTTTTCCTAATCCCTATTTGCTCTCTTATCTCCCATTTTACAGCGCTTAAAGTCCCTGGTGTAAAGAAAACTTTGGGTATTCCTGAAATACCTGTTGCAGCAGCTCCCACTGGTGCTCCTCAATCGCCCTTTTCTATATTTCCCGCACTAAAACAAACTACGTCTGCCACAAATGGGTCCAGGTCAGTAGTAACAGATGAACCTTCAAAACATTCAAATACAAAGATATCTTCTTCATCGGTTATTAGTCAAAGGCTTAGAAGTTTAGAGAAACAAGTGAAAGGAAGAAAGAAGCACAAGTGAGGAGCATTTACTTTCCTAAATTATACTTTGTAAACATATGGAGCAATTGTGCTCAAATATTTGTTATATTTTATTATCCTGGGATGAGGGGGAAATTAGTTCAAACATTGATTGTTAGTAAGTTTGCTCAGGGATTTGCCTATCGTCTAGTCTACACTGGATTCACGAGTTTCTAAATTATCGTTGTAAAAGCTTGGTCCCTATCAGAAAGGAGACCATAATTTCATAATTATTTTCATTTTAATTTCAATAATTCATTTGTGATCGAAGAAGGCTAATATGGGTTTATTGTATGAGTTTCAACTTTAGTAATAGTGTGATTATTTTATTAGGATACTGGGCAATTATATTTATCTGGGGGTAAAATATGTTTTGCTATAGTAACAGAATGACGGTCTGGAGACAATAGATTTATTTCTCTTTAGATTTTAATTGCCAAGTGAATTATTTGACCAGGATGGTTACAATGACATGGAAGTCCGCTTATCTTAAATTCAATCCGCATTGTACTTTTAATAATTTGATAATTATTTCCCATAAAAATGAGATTGTCCATATATAGAGCAACAAATATCATTACTTCAACTTTTTTTCACATACAGGATATGTTAATAAGGATACTGTACAAATTCATTCTGTTTGAAGTAGGTATCTATTTTATTGTTTCATGTATGAGGAATTTGTTTTAGTTTATGAAGAGCTTTTTTTAGTCTCAATTTTTATCTCCTATTATTTCTTTACCTATATAGGTGGTTGTTTAAAATATACCTCATTTTTTAGTACACCATTAAAAAATATCGATTTAATATCTATCATGATCGACCATTTGTGTTGGGTTGTTAGAGAGATTAACAATCAAACAATTTCGATCCTTGTCACTGGGGCAAACACCTCATTATAGTATATCCTTCTTTTTATTTGTAGTCATTTGTAATAATTGAACTTTATATCTTTATATCTCTTTTGTACATTCATTTTCTTCTTAAATACTCACTTAACATTGATTGGTTGTGAATGAGTTGACAACTCAGTCATTATTCATGTGTAATTTCGTTTTATTGTTTAGATCTCATCATTCATAGCAACTTGCCACTTCTAATCACACATTACCTTGTCAAATCTTATGTCCTTAGAATCTAACAAAATACATGATACATATGACATGTATCTCATTTGTCGAATTGTACAAGTCTTGTAGACTCTACATTCTGGGTTGTGGTTTTTCCTCCTCCTGTTGAATTATTAGTAAGCGTACAAAAATTATCAATTGTAGTATAGTATTTTGATTAAATAAAAATCAATCCTACGAGGAGCGATTTCAATGAAAATTCTTAATTATATACTTACTAAGTAGATTAAAACAAAGTGGGTTTTGCATAGAGAGTTGAATTGAAATTAAACGATAAAGAACTGTAAATTGTTTGAAAAATATCAATTAAAGACATTTATGATTGACTTCCTTCTTTATCCTCCTTTTGCAATGACTATGTCAATTAAAAACATGAATTAACCTAACAATGTTGATGCCACCTACTCAAATCATCCATGTTGATTTCTCACACATGAAATTCATAAGAAAACCTAATAAATGTTGATTTCGCACACAATTAAGAGATTTTTCAGCATTAGGTTTAAAGTGTTAAGCAATTGATACATTTATTCAATTCTTGACAATTAATGTAACAAATATTCTTGCTGTAATCTAGGGTTCGAGATATATTTTTCAATCATACCCTAAACATAAAGAATAAATCATTCCAAAGTAAAAAAAGATAAGAATAACAACATCAAAACATAGATTAATATTTCAAAATATCACCATGATACAAAAGAGTTCAAAGGAAGTGCACCAAATCCCAAGAGAATGAAGTTAGCCACTCATGGTGACCATTATAATGCTCCAAATGTGGAAGAAGTGAAGAATTGATGAAGATTGGACGAAACCTTTGCAGTAGTTGCGCCTCTTCTCCCCAAAACCGCTTACTTTTCTCAAAACACATCTTATCTTTTTATAAGAAAAATTGGGTCTTGCGTCTTTCGCTCAAGCGACAACATTCGATCAAGCGAAAGTTTTCTATTTTCGCTCAAGCGACAAAGTGCTCGCTTGAGCGAGTGAGTTCTAGAGAAGAATAACTAATTTTCGCTCAAGTGAAATTAATAGCGCTTGAGTGACTGACTTCTAGAGAGTTTTAACTATTTTTCGCTCAAGCAAGAGTCTATCTCGCTCGAGCGACTTCCATGCTGAAAATCTTCTTCCTCCTTTCAGTTTTGCTCAAATTATGTTGACAATTATGCTCTTTACTCTTGTATCAAGGTATTCTCGAATTCATCCTACATTAGGAAAAAAATAGATTAGAATTGACACAAAATAAATGATTTCATACAATTAAAAACATAATTATATCAACTTTTTACCACTTAACACCTCAATTTTCAAATTGACTATAATTGGTGGTGTGACAACTCGACTTTCTCTAATATTCGTAAATGAGTCTTCCTTTCCCCTATTCCACTCACTCATTTTATCAATTCAAATATCACTATTTACAACCATCGTCTTGTTGGTCGGATCTATCACCTTATAAGCTTTCATCATTTCATCATATTCAATGAACACATTCTTCTTTCTACTATCTTCAAGCTTTGTCCTTTGTTGAAAAGACATTATTCCATAAATAATACTTTCAAACACTATGAGATGAGACACGATCAAGTTTTGACTATGCTTCTTATATTGTTATATCATCCAACTTTGCATGTGGACATCTATTTTATACATAGATGACACACTACACTACTTTTGCCCATAACTTCTTTAACATATTCTTGGTCTTCAACATTGACAAAATCATATCAGGAATAATTTGATTCTTCCTCTCAGTCACACCATTTTGTTGTGGTGGGTATGAAGCTGTCATAAATCTTCTTATACCTTCATCTTCACAATATTTTATGAAGGTTGCCAATGTAAACTCTCTATCTCTATTAGATCAGATTGACTTGATATGTTTCCCAGTCACCTTTTTCACCATTTGAAGCACTTGGTGGATTTGATGAAGACATAATATTTTGTAGATATAGTTTAGTTTGTGGGTGTGTAGATGAATAGGCTAAGTATAGAACTTAATCTCTTGATAGGCCAATATATTTTGTGATAAGCGCCTTAATATGATGCATCTCAGTGAAAACATTTTTCTGCATGAAAAACTTACATTTAAACATTAAAAGAACAAACTAAGTTTTTTTTCAATCTGTTGAAAATGATTTTCAATCTGTTAAAATCACTTAACATAATAAGTGGTTATACATAGTCGAAATTTCAATTGGTTGAATCGTAGAATCAACAGGTTAAAATGACTTAATGAATTTTTCAATATCAAAGTTTCGTATTTTAAATCTGTTGAAATGTTTTTTAAACTGTTGAAACAGAAAGATTTTTTTCAGTCTAAGAGTTTTCAGAAAATCAATCTGTTGAAATATTTTTTAATCTGTTGAAACAGAGAGACTATTTTTCTAACTAAGTGTTTGCAGGATTTCAATCTGTTGAAATGATTTTCAAATCGATTGAAACAGAAAGCTATCATTTTTCATAAAGCTGTTTCAATCCATTAAAAACTCGAATCAATCGATTGAATGAAGTTTTAAATGAAATCAATCGATTGAATCGTCGTTTTAATCGATTGAAATGCATTCTGATCGATCATAGTTTTATTCTGATCGATCATAACTTGGTCTAATCGATCAGAATACGATTCTAATCGATCAGAATCGATTCTAACCTGTTTTACTTTATTTCTGATCGATCATTTACCTCTCTGATTCTGTTTTTAATTAATGAAACGTTCTGGTTCTCTGTTTTACTTTATAAATACAGATTTGATCTATCTTTTGAATAACACAACTTGAGAAAACATTTGAAATCAATCTGTGAAGCTATCATATCCGTGACTTTCTCTGCATTCAAGAACTTTGATATATCATAAGGTGCTTTGATCAAAATTGTGGTCAATAAAAGAGAGAAAGTGCTGTGTTAGAATCTGTTCTGGACAATTTTACTGATAGAGCTGCAGTCCAGGTTTTTTTCTTTTCATACTCTTTTGTAAAGTGTATTTGTGCAGGTTGGAATTTGATCTGCACTTGTTACAGTAACTGGATTTGGTTACTGGGAGGTTTTCAAGAGTCTATCTTGTGGGTTTGTAAGATAGTTCTTGGGGTAGATTGGTGAGTATCTACTGGTTGTAATTTTCACTTGGTATTAGTGGAACTTGGCAGATTTGTCAAGAACTGGATGTAGCTCTGGTATAGAGTGAACCAGTATAAATTTGTGTGTTGAATTTCTTCTTTCATCTCTTTTATTTTCTGCCTATATACTTGCTGTGTTTAAAATTAATCTACCTTAGCAAGAATTGAATAAAGATAAATCATTCTTCCAAAAGAAAGTAAGTTTTGCGAAAAAGTTTTATAAAGTTCAATTCATCCCCCCTCTTGAACTCAACCATTAATTCTTTCACCATTATCTTGAACTTTTTGAACAATTCAAACACCTCAAATTTCTTTCTTAGAAAATATACCCATGTTTTTTTTAAGAATAATAAAAGTCATAAAATACCTCTTTCCACTAAATGATTCAGGGGTAATTAACGCACATGGATCGGTATGAATCAGTCTAAGTTGCTCATTTGCTCTGTACTCAACATTTTTCTAAAATGGGGTCCTCACTTATTTACCAAGCACACATTCTTCGTAATATCTCCTCTGACACTCCATGCTCGACAAACTAAGCATCATGCTTTTCTTCGACAATTCGACTAGACCACCAAAATTCAAGTGACCAAATCGATGATCTCTCTTCAATAACATTTAATCTACATTTAGTTTCAAATGCTTCTTTGAATGTTTCTTAGTTGTGACTTGTATGTTCTATTCTTCCTCATCTCAATTCTAACAATTAACCTTATGTGTCTATCCTTTAATTGTAGTACTGGATTTTTCATGAATAT